GCCGAGCCAAATTTTTCTGTTTTTAGTAGAGTCAGGTCTCGCTCTTCCTTTGGCTGGCCTTGAACTCCTGAGCTCAAATAATCCATCTGCCTTGGCCTCCAGAGTCCTAGGATTATAGGCGTGAGTCACTGTGCCCAGCCTGTTATATAATCTTTTCTTTTTTTTGAGACAGAGTTTCACTTCATAGCTCTTGGTAGAGTACCGTGATGTCACAGCTAACAGCAACCTCAAACTCTTGGGCTTAAATGATTCTCTTGCCTCAGCCTTCCAAGTAGCTAGGACTATAGGTGCCTGCCACAATGCCCGGCTATTTTAAGAGACCAGGTCTTGCTCTAGCTTGGGCTGGTCTAGAACTCCTGAGCTCAGGCAGTCCACTTGCCTGTCTTGAACTTGCCTTGGCCTCCCAGAGTGCTAGGATACAGATAGAGATGATTTTTTTTTTTTTAATTGAGACAGAGTCTCATTTTGTCACCCTTGGTAGTCATAGCTCACAGCAACCTCAAACTCTTGGACTTAAGCGATTTTCTTGCCTCAGCCTCCCTACTAGGTGGGACCACAGGTGCCTGCCACAATGCCCTGCTGTTTTTTTTGTTTAGCAGACCCAAGGGAGAACCCACCAGCCCCAGAGCATTGGCTGGCCCCCTAAACACTGAGCTATAGGCATCCAGCCATATGTAGATAATCTTAATGGCTAACACCACCAGGCAATCACTGTCTAATGCATGTGTCTATTACATTTTGGTCACTTTGCTTTCTTTTTATTTATTTATTATTTATTCATTTATTTTTGAGACAGAGTCTCACTGTGTCACCCTCAGATTCTCTTGCCTCAGTCTTCAAGTAGCTGAAACTACAGGTGCCTGCCACAACTACCCAGCTATTTTTTGTTGTAGTTGTCATTGTTTAGCTGGACCAGGCTGGGTTCGAACCTGCCGGCCTTGGTGTATGGCACCTTAACCACTGTGCTATGGGCTCCAAGCCTGTTTTTTATTTTTTAAGAGACAGTGTCTCACTCTTGTTGCTCAGGCTGAGTGCAGTGCTGCAATCATACTCACTGCAGCCTCAAACTCCTGGGCTCAAGTAATCCTTCTGTCTCAGTTTCCTTAGCAGCTAGGACTATGGGTGCATGCCACCATGTGGGGCTAAATTTTTTTTCCATAGAGACAGAATCTCACGGTGTTGCCCAAGGCTGGTCTTGAACTCTTGGCCTCAAGTCATCCTCCCACCTGGGGATTATAGGCATGAACCATTGTGCCCTACGTGCTTTGCTTTCTTTATTTTCCCTGGCCATCCCTAAAATTATAAGTAAGTGAACAAGACCTTGATAATGAATGTTTCTGTGTTGGTTAAGGTTGCATGGTAGTCAAGGATTAGTTTGCCAATATCCATTAATGAAATGCCAGTGTCATAATGTTATTTGTGTGAATGAACTTTATAATCAAATCAGGCAATTTAAATCCTCAACTTAGTGTCTAGATATGGACTTGGGCCCAACGGTGGCATAGTGACCTCACTCAATCTTTTTGCTACCAGGTTTGATCAGGTACATCTGTCTTCATATTTATAGACATAGCTGAGTAAAAATCTATGACTCTTACATGTCTTAGCTTGATCACGTTGGTAAGAACAGTGGCAAAACTGAACATACATATAGAAAATAAGTAAACATTTTGGTAGACAGAGAAGCAGACTAGGAGAGGATGATTAATGTTATGAGACAGTATACATTTAATATTTGTAACATCCAGTAAAGCAAAAATCCGAGAGACCCGGCATCATTTTTTGACCTAGTTTTGCTTATGGTACTTCCCTGAGGACTTTTAAATTTTAAAAGTACTGGGCGGCACCAAGGAGTAGGGCACCAGCCCCATATGCTGGAGGTGGTGGGTTCAAACCCAGCCCCGGCCAAAAACCGCCAAAAAAAAAAAAAATTTTTTTTTAAAGTACCAAGATGGGGAGATGAGAGAGTGGTTTGGGCTAGTAGGCGTGGAATAGAAAAATAATGGGACATTTTACTTGTGACAAATATTTGTTGTCCCCTAGGTTTTGGCTGTTTCCTCCTTCCATAAGAGTGTTTTACTATCAGTGTTATGGAACTTTTCTATTCTGATGACACTCCCTGAGTCAGGCTGTTAATATTTTTCCAGAGTGCCAAGAGAGATAAGACTTGATGGTGGTCAGTCAGGTCTTTAGCTTCTCAGGTCCTGGCACTGTGCCCCTGAATGTGCTACAGTGCTGCTGATGTGACAGTGCTTCTTCAGTTCAGTGAGTTTATTCTTTGAGTCCTAAGATTGAGAACATAAAGATTGAGTAGGTAATGGTGCCTATGGGGCATGCCACCCTGGAGAGGGTCCTGTCTTGAACTTGTGCTGAAATAAAATGCTGTTGTAATTGGCTTCCTTTTCTTTTAGGTGATGAAATTTATTGAGAAGGCCCAGAACATGTCTAAGTATGTAATTTCATTTTAACATTTATTACTCAGTAGTCAGCATATTTCTAGGCTTTTGGAGGAGGATCTGGGATACCATCAAGCTCTGAAAGGCTATAAATTGAGATAAAACTCTTAGAAGTAAAAGAAAGTAGGCAATAAAATCATTAAGATGGTGTGGAGTGGCTCGGCGCCTGTGGCTCAAGCGGCTAAGGCGCCAGCCACATACACCTAAGGTGGCGGGTTCAAATCCCCAGCCTGGGCCCGCCAAACAACAATGATGGTTGCAACCAAAAAATAGCCGGGCGTTGTGGCGGGCACCTGTGGTCCCTGATACTTGGGAGGCGGAGGCAGGAGACTCGCTTGAGCCCAGGAGTTAGAGGTTGCTGTGAGCTGAGATGCCACAGCACTCTACCCAGGGGGACAGCTTGAGGCTCTGTCTCAAAAAAAAAAAAAAAAAGAAAGATAATTTATTTTATAATAAAGGACATATGGTCATTATAAAGAATTAACAATGTGTAATAATTGAAAGGTGAAACCATCACACTGATTCCCACTACCAATAACTGTTAATATCATTATTCAGTGACTAGTATTCCACGTTTCTATACTTACATACATAGAAGGATAGATGGGTAAAGGTGTTTTTATAAAAATGGGATTATGTTAGAGGTAGTTTTTAGAGCAGCTTGCTTTATTTTATATTTATTTATTTATTTTTCTTTTTTAAGACAGTCTTAAGCTGTCGCCCTGGGTAGAGTGCTGTGGTATCACAACTCACAGTAAACTCCAACACTTGGGCTTACATAACTCTCTTGCCTCAGCCTCCCAAGTGGCTGGGACTACAGGCACCTACCACAATGCTCGGCTATTTTTTGGTTGTAATTGTCATTGTTGTTTGGCGGGCCCAGGCTAGATTTGAACCCACCAGCTCCCATGTATATGGCTGGAGTCCTAGCCACTGAGCTACAGGTGTCAAGCCCCTTATTCTTTTTTTGTTTGTTTTCTTTATTTTCTTATTTTTAAAATTTTTTTTAGAGACAGAGTTTTATTTTGTTGCCCTCGGTAGAGTGCCATGGCATCACAGGTCACAGCATCCTCCAGCTCTTGGGCTTAGGTGATTCTCTTGCCTCAGCCTCCTGAGTAGCTGGGACTATAGGCGCCCATCACAACTCCCAGCTATTTTTTGTTGCAGTTTGGCTGGGGCGCATTTGAACCCACCAACCCTTGGCATATGGGGCTGGTACCCTACTGAGCCACAGGCACCGCCCTGTTTGTTTTGTTTTCTTTTTGAAACAGAATCTTATTCCGTCACCTGGGCTAGAGTACAGTGGCACCACCACAGCTTACTGCAACCTCAAATTCCTGGGCTCAAGTGATCCTCCTGCTTTAGTCTCCCAAGTAGCTAAGACTACAGATGCACACCATCATGCCTGCCTAACTTTTCTATTTTTTTGTGGAGGTGAGGTCTTGCCCTGTTGCCCAGGCTTGTGTTGGCCCTCCTAGGCTCAAGTGATCCTCCCATTTTGGCCTTCCAAAGTGCTAGGATTACAGGCATGAGCCACTGTGTGGCCTGAAACCTCCCTCCTTTCCTTCCTCCCTCCTTCCCTTCCTTCCTCCCTTCTCACTGCCACCCCCCCACCCCCAGTCTATCCCTGAGTTACCAGATAGTTTTCCAAGAGATTAACATCTCTTCTTTGCCTGGGCTGGAGTGTAATGCTATCATCATAGCTTCCTGTAACTTCAAACTACTAGATTCATTCAATCCTTATGCCTCAACATCCCAAGTAGCCAGGACTACAGGTGTGCCCCACCATGCCAGCTAATTTTTCTTATTTTTTGTAGAGATAGGGTCTTACTATTGCTCAGACTGGTCTAGAACTCCTGGGCTTAAGTGATCTTCCTCACTCAGAGTGCTAGAATTATAGGCTTGAGCCATTGTGTCCTTAACATAGCTCTCATTCTTATTTTTATTTTTATTATTTTTTAGACAGAGTATCAACCTCCTGAGTAGCTAGGAGTATAGGCACCCGCCACAACGCCCCGCTATTTTTAGAGGCGAGGTCTTGCTCTGGCTCAGGCTGGTCTCAAGTGTGTGAGCTCGGGCAATCCACCCATCTGGCCTCCCAGATTACTAGGATTACTGGTGGGAGCTGTTGCACCCGGCCTAATGGGAACGAATTTAGACCTAGCAGTGTACAGATGTTATTCCAATTTTGGATAATCAGATATTTAGTGTTTTATAACACTAGAATGTCTTTTAGCATTGTGTAAGTGTAACATTTCTTTAATGATCTTTCTTGGCACAGATATGTCTTGATTGACACACCTGGGCAGATTGAGGTATTCACCTGGTCAGCTTCTGGAACAATCATCACTGAGGCCCTGGTGAGTATTCCTAGCACTTGTTACTGAGAGTAGCTAGAGGGCTGGATTGGATCAGCATCTGTTTTATTGCCTTGGACTTTATATGTGAGGGAGTTGTAGACGCTTTGCTTATCCTTCCTAGAGTGGTTTATCCTTGCTAAGGAAGGTGGGGAATGAGTTTGGGGACAGGTCATGAGCCCTCTTACCAAGACTTTGATTATTTTTTAACTTTAGGCATCCTCATTTCCAACCGTTGTCGTCTATGTAATGGACACATCACGAAGTACCAACCCAGTGACCTTTATGTCCAACATGCTCTATGCCTGCAGGTAATTGGTTATTGATGGGTACAGTATTCCGTCAAGGTATATGGCCTCCTTTTCTCTTCTTCCCCTTGACATTTGAGTCTTGGTTGCTTATCTCTAGATTTGTGCTCATTCAAATTTGCTATTCAGGTGAGTGACTGTAAGTTGAGGGAGTCACAGAAGAGAAAAGAGGCCCACATGGTGCTGGCATTCACTGTCAGAATTTTCTGATTTTCCTCCTTGCTTATCACAGAAATAGGTCCTATGTGAATGTCAACCCCTGGCAGTTGCTCCCAGTTGAATGAACCCCACATCTAAATAGAGTAGAGCCCTCTGGTCTAAATTCTGCTTTTGTGTGTTATGATGGGTAGAATTAAATTGTTACATGAAGAAGTGGCATAAGTAAAAAGATTTATCCATAATTCTAAAATTCACAGGTTTGCCCAAATGTGGTGTCATTACCAAAGATAGGACATGCCTCACTTCACTATGTTAGTGTATTAAACCTGAGGAGTAAGGTATACCATTATTTATGTCAAGATAATTTAATTTTAGGGGCATCCAAATACCGTTACCAACATTTGTACCTTCTACTATGACGAAGGATGTATTGTTGTCGTTGTCTTTTTTTTTTTTTTTTTTTTTAGAGACAAGAGTCTCACTGTCCCCCTCAGTAGAGTGCTATGACATCACATCTCACAGCAACCTCTGACTCTTGGGCTTAAGTGATTCTCTTGCCTCAGCCTCCCAGGTAGCTGAGACTACAGGCGCCCACCACAATGACCAGCTATTTTTTTGTTGTTGTGGCAATTGTCATTGTTGTTAAGCAGGCCCGGCTTGGCCCGAAACTGCCAGCCTTCTTGTACGTGGCCAGCACCCTACTCACTGAGCTACAGGCTCCAAACCAGATGTGTCTTCTTCTTTTTTGTTGAGACAGAAGCTCAGGCTGTCACCCTGGGTAGTGCCGTGGCATCATAGCTCACAGCAACCTCACGCTCTTGGGCTTAAGCAATTCTCTTGCCTCAGCCTCCCAAGTAGCTGTGATTACAGGCACCCACCACAACACCCAGCTATTTTTTGGTTGTAGTTGTCATTGTTTTTGGCGGCCTTAGCTGGATTCAAACCCAGCTCCGGTGTATGTGGCTGGCACCCTAGCTGCTTGAGCTACAGGCACTGAGCCCAGATATGTCTTCTTGTTGGACACAAAAATCTTGATCTAAATAGAAATGTGAATGACAGCATTATTTCATTTTTGTGTCAATTGTTTAGAAGGTAATTTTGTTGGCTCGATTCTAGTAATCATTTTACAATGTATATATGAAAATGACCCTTGAATGATGTAAGGATTGGGGTGCCAATCCTGCCATCAAAAATCTGCCTTATTGGCCAGGCAAGGTGGCTCACGCCTATAATCTTAGCACTCTGGGAGGCTAAGGCAGGTGGATTGCCTGAACTCACAAGTTTGAGGACAGCCTGAGCCAGAGTGAGACCTTGTCTCTAAAAAAACAGCCAAGCGTTGTGGCGGGAGCCTCTAGTCCCATGTACTCAGGAGGCTGAAGCAAGAGAATAATTGGAGCCCAAGAATTTGAGGTTGCTATGAGATATGATCCATGGCACTCTACTGAGGGTAAAAAAATGAGACTCTGTCTCAACAATACAAATGAGTAAATAAATAAATAATGCTGCTCTAAAAACTAAATGCTTTTTTTCCTCCTTTGAGAAAAAGGTAATTATTTAGTGAAAAACAACAAAAACCAGTATCAATATCAAAGCAATATTACCTTAAGTTAGAGTGAATGTGTGTGTGTGTTATTTTCTTTGCTTCTCCCATTTTCTTGGGAGAAGGGAATATGTGATTGCCATGTAAAAATGGATAACTGCTTTTTAGAGTCTGAACTCTTTCTCCTTTACTTAGCCCCAACAGACTGACACAGGGCAAGCAAGAGCTTAAGTGCTTTTACTAATAACATCTCAATGTTTAATTTTCAGCATCTTGTACAAAACCAAGCTGCCTTTCATTGTGGTCATGAATAAAGTAAGTGGATCCTTTGTGTTGTGATTCATTATTTTTCATCAGAACCTTGTGGTTGTTGGAAGGTTTGGGTGAATAAGAAGGATTATCTCAGATGCTAGAGAGCAAATTCCGCCTTTACACAGATAAGGTCATAGGCATTTTTGGGAAATGAATTCAAATTGAATGAATTTTTGTTCCTGAGTCTCATCCAAAATCATTGTAGGTCAGATAGAATAGCCCCTTAACTATGGTATGTAGGTTATCCCTCAGAATCAGGGCTGTGTGAATAGAGGAGAGACATCCAGTCTATTGGAAGTAGCAATTAAAAAAAAAAAAAACCCAAAACAGGCCAGGGATAGTGGCTCATGCATGTATCCTAGCACTCTGGGAGGCCAAGGTAGGTGGATTACCTGAGCTCAGTTTTGAGACCAGTCTGAGCCAGAGCACTGTGGCTGGCACCTGTAGTCCCAGCTACTTTGGAGGCTGAGGCAAGAGGACCACTTGAGCCCAAGAATTTGAGGCTGCTGTGAGCTGTCATGCCATGGCACTCGTATCAAGGATGACAAAGAGAGACCCTGTCTCCAAAAAGAAGAAAAAAACTTCCTATTGTTGATTGCTGTCTACAATGTAGAGGACTGTTTACTTCAGAGCCTGGAACATGCATCCACTGTGGTCCTGGCTATTTGGTAGTGGATAGTGAAAGGTCTGCTTTGACCAAGAGAAGACATCTTCATTTAATGATAGATACTACACGACAGACTTGGTTCTTTGTGGTGTGTTGCAATAAAGGAGGAAATGGGGGAAGCAGAGAAAGAAAATGTATGCATACTCTTTGCTGTTACTACTTAGTTAAAAAATATATTTTGCCATTGTTTAGTGTCTAACCTGATCTCTGATTATTGATAGTTGACTTCTCTTTGATACAGACTGACATCATCGATCACAGCTTTGCAGTGGAATGGATGCAAGACTTTGAGGCTTTCCAAGATGCCTTGAATCAAGAGACTACATACATCAGTAACCTGACCCGTTCAATGAGCCTGGTGTTAGATGAGTTTTATAGCTCACTCAGGGTAAATTTTCTCTTCTCTTCACTGTGACGTCCTCTCCAGATAACCTTTTAACCCCTAAGACTGGTTGTGAACCTAGCTTAGAAAGGAGGTTCATTACCTTCTAAAAAGTAACTTATAGGCTTGGTGCCTGTAGCTGGAGCACCTAAGGCACCAGCCACATACACCTGAGCTGGCAGGTTCAAATCCAGCCCAGGCCTGCCAAACAACAATGACAACTACAACCTAAAAATAGCTGGGCCTTGTGGCAGGCGCCTGTAGTCCCAGCTACTTGGAAGGCTGAGGCAAGAGAATCGCTTAAGCCCAAGAGTTTAAGGTTGCTATGAGCTGTGATGCCACCGTACTCTACCCGGGTTGACAGCTTGAGGCTCTGTCTCAAAAAAAAAAGTAACTTGTAAAGCATTGCTTATTGAAAATTGGTGGCTAGGCACGATGGATCACACCTGTGATCCCAGCACTTTGGGAAACTAGAGTTGGAGGATCCCTTGAGCCCAGAATTCAAGACCAATCTGGGAAATACAGCAATACCCTTGTCTCACAAAAAAAATTAAAAATTAACCAATTGTGTGCCCAAGGTCATAACTACTAGGGGAGGCTGATGTGAGAAGATCACTTTAATACAGAAATTGTAGGCTGCAGTGAACTATGATTGCTTCACTATGCTCCTGCCTGGGTGACATAGCAAGACCCTATCTCTTAAAAAAATAAAAATAAGAAAAACTCTGTGGAGTTTATAAGATGAACAAGGGATCCTACCTTCAGAGAGTTTGTGGTCTACTTAGGATACAAGTCTATACACAGACTATACAACATGTGGTGAGTACCTTAAGAAAGATTAGATGTTGGGCCTGATGGTTGTAAAAGGTTAGATCATAATAGGGATTTTGTAGGGTGCATTATTAGATAGAGGTAAGCTTTTTAGAGGGTCAGATTTATGTAAGCTAAAGCAGGTGCAAGTTTCAGGAAGTATGTTAATTGCCCAGGTAAATGCAATGAAAGAGCAGAAAGTGGTTAGTTAGGTTTTTAAGGGAGTAGATAATAAGTCTTGTACTTTTTTTTTGGTCCTATTAATAATTGTATGTTTCAATTTTTTTTTTTTTTAAATAGAGACAGAGTCTCACTTATGGCCCTTGGTAGACTGCCATGGCATCACAGCTCACAGCAACCTCTAGCTCTTGGGCTTAGGCAAGTAGCTTCAGCCTCCCAAGTAGCTGGGACCACAGGAGCCCGTCACAACGCTCAGCTATTTTTTTGTTGCAGTTTGGCCGGGGCTGGGTTTGAACCCCCCACCCTTGGTATATGGGGCTGGCGCCTTACTCACAGGCGCCACCCTATGTTTCAATTTTTTATTTTCCATAGGCTTATTTCCATGACTTTTGACTCAATGTGCTGTTTTGTTCTGTTGTAGCTTAGCTTTTTGCTAGAGACTTCTCAAAGTATCTGTACCTCTTTTATGAAGATTTTATGACATTTGAACAAAATAATGTATACCATTTAAAAATAATACAGTAGTTTCCTTAAAGGCATTTATGATGCTTTTTGGCAGGTAGTGGGTGTCTCCGCAGTTCTGGGTACCGGCTTAGATGAATTCTTTGTGCAAGTCACCAGTGCTGCAGAAGAATATGAACGGTGAGGATAAAGGGAAATTCTATGAATGACATTATTAGCAACCCACAATTCAGATAAGATAGCACTTTTTCTATGCAAAGCATTTAGGTTTTCATCATGTATGTATTAGGTCTGTCTTGCATACTTATACATGTGCTGGATCTGATCACTCTTAGGAATAAAAAATCCCCATTAACTTTTTTAAAATATAAAGGTGTGGGGGCTGTCCACTTGGATTTCCCCCTCCACTGCTGGAGGTCCTATTCCCCCTCTTTTACTTCCCCTTTCACTTATCATGCTTGTCCAACATTTTCCCTGTCAATAAACTCTATTAAAAAAAAAAAGGTACAAAAAATACATAAAGGTGTAAATCTTCACTTCTTCACTGTATTGAGTGATTAAGAGCAGGGGTCACCAGAGTTCATCTATCAAGAGTCAGATAGTAAATATTTTAGGCATTGTGGGCCAATACAACCTCTGTTGCAACTATTACCCCTGACCTGGTAGGACAAAAGCATCCATAGACCATTTGTAAATGAATGGGCATGGTTGTGTTCCAGTAAGACATTGGCGTTAAAGTCATCACGAAGATTATTTAAGAAAATGTATGTAAAGCATGTAACACAGTTGCTGACACATAGGAAGCATATTTTATAATAAGTGATTTTATAACAATCATCATTATTTTTTGAGACAGATTCTCACTCTGTCATGCTGGGTAGACTGCTATGGCCTCGTATTTCACAGTATCCTCAAACTCTTGGGTTTGAGCAATCTTTGTACCTCAGCCTCCTGAGTAGATGGGACTATAAGAATGAGGCCCCAAGCCTAGCTAGTTTTTCTGTTTTTAGTAGAGACAGGGTCTTGAACTCCTGAGCTCAAGCACCGGCCTTGGCCTCTCAGAGTGCTAGGATTACTGGCATGAGTCACCATGACCTAGCCAACTATTGTCGTTGTTAATACTGAAATTCCATTTGCCTAAAAGAGTGGAATCAGAGTACCTGTACACTTTCCTTAGGCCCATGGCTTCATAGGCCACTTTTTTTTTTTGCAGTTTTTGGCCGGGGCAGGGTTTCAACCTGCCACCTCGGGTATATGGGACTGGCACCCTACTCCTTTGAGCCACAGGTACCGCCCCCATAGGCCACTTATTAACATGCTGCTTTGGCTTTATATTTTGCAAGATTATAACAACCACATTTTGGTTTTCAGACACATGATTTTGATTTTGATTCATCAGATAAGGGTGTTATCAAAGCCTCAGGATAGGCTCGGCATAGTAGCTCATGCCTGTAACCCTAGCACTCTGGGAGGCTAAGGCTGGAGGAAGTGATATGATCCTCAAGTGTGTGGTCAGGAGTTCAAGACCAGCCTGAGCAAAAGCCAGCTCTATGAAAAACTGGAAAAATTCACCAGGCCTGGTGGTGGGTACCTATAGTCCCAGCTACTGGAGATGCTGAAGCAGGGGGTTTGCTTGAGCCCAGGAGTTGGAGGTTTCAGTGAGCTATGATGATGCCACTTCCCTGCATCCAAGGTGACAAAGTAAGACCCTGTCTGAAAAAACAAATCAGAAAAAATAAAAGCCTCAAGATAGACTCTTTTATGTGTCCTTTCACTGTTGTTGCTCAGGTAAACCATATCATGATATATTGGACTTTGTGAGCTCAGTAGGCTTATCTTCTTTTCTTTATTGTAGCCATTTATCTCAATTGAATAGTGAGTTCATTCTCCATCTCTGTAGTGCTAATCTTTCTAGCCCCTCATCCTGGTTTCAGGGTGGGGGCAATCACTTTAGCTTTTAATTTTATGGTAAGTAGAGTCTCTCAGTGACTGTCCAAGATTTATTACATCTACTGCTCAGTGAATTAAGATCTTTCATTATTGTCAGAATCTTAGGACGAAATAAGTGATAGGGATGGGGAGTGGTCAGGATAGATTATTAAGCAAAGGAATTTAGAAAATGTTTCTCTTTCCAGGGAATATCGTCCTGAATATGAACGTCTGAAGAAATCATTGGTAAGAAAGGAAGCTGTTCATATATTTTAGGGTCATTGGGAAAAAAACATCCTTGCCAGTGCATCTGGAGTCCCAGCTACTTGGACTGCTAAGGCGGGAGGTTGGCTTAGACCCAGGAGTTTGAGGTTATAGTGAGCTATAATGGTGCCAGTACACTCTAGCCTGAGTGATTAAGACCCTGTGTCTATTTTAAAAAGAAAACCCAAAACAAAAACAGCCTCAGTCTTCATGGCATAAATGCTATCACTGTATCTTATTTAATTTAAAAAAAAGTTTCTAGCTTTACTGGGTATAATTGACTAGTAAAATTTTAGGGTATACTTTAAATTCTTAATTTAGATTTGTATATATGGTGTTTGGATGCAGGAAAGCCCCTTATTTGTTTTTCTTTATATTTGATTTTTTAAAATGAGAGCTTTCTTGTTATATATACGGAGTTCTTCTGTGCCCCTCCTTCATCCCTACTCCAAGGTCAATTTAAAGGCTAGTTGTAGAATTCTGCTTTAGAATAGAGAATTGGTTCACAACTCTTACTCCAAATAATCCCAGTGTCCTCTTCCCATAGACTGCACCAGGTTCTTTATTACTGAGCTTTCCTGCTGTGTCTATGAGGGTTCTTTTGACATGCTTTTGTTTCTGAATCCTCTAATGGAGTCTGAGCTTCTGCTATAATCTGGGTCCATACTACTCAGAGTTTCTTATCCCCATGTCAGCTATTCCTTATCTGCCTCAGAGTTTAAGTACCTAGTAATTTCGTAATTCCTTATCTTCCCTGAGAAGTGTGGCTCCTAATTTGGGCTCCTTTTTAAATATGATGACATTTTTCTATTTATAGGCTAGTACACAGAGCCAACAGCAGAAAGAACAACTGGAACGACTTCGGAAAGATTTGGGCTCTGTAGCCTTGGACACAGGGACTGCCAAAGGTATTGGAGGATCTCTGATGTTAGGAACTAAGAAGAGACTATGTTTATTTCTGCTCAGCAAGGATATGTTTATATATGACAGAAAAGGATAAATAAATTGTGGTTTATACACACACAACATACATTTTAAAAATAATTTGGAAAGGCAAACAATTGAAAATTGTATACAGCTGTACCACCTGGGAATCATCCTTCTTGAAGTTGTTGCTTTACTTTGGAAAGGTACTTGATGTCTGCTCTGTTTATATGTATGTGTGTGTGTGTATAATATGTTTTTTTTCTTTGAGACAAAATCTCAAGCTGTCGCCCTGGGTAGAGTGCTGTGGTGTCACAGCTCACAGCAACCTCAAACTCTTGGGCTTAAGGAATTCTCTTGCCTCAGCCTCCCAAGTAGATGGGACTATAGGTGCCTGCCACAACAGCCAACTATTTTGTTGTTGCAGTTGTCATTGTTTGGCAGGCCCGGTCTGTATTCCAACCCACTGGCTCCAGTGTATGTGGCTGGCACCCTAGTCTCTGAGCTACAGGCATGGAGTCTGCTCTGTTAATATATTTTTTAATATTTTTAGACTATTTACCCCCACACACTTTTTTACAGTCTGACTTTATTTCAGATTTATGGAAAAGTTGCATGAATAATACAAGTAATTTCTGTAACTCTTCAATCAGATCCGTAAAATGTTAACATTTTACCACTATGTTTATTTTTTTCTATGTGTGACTTTACATATTACATAAATATATATTTCTTTTTCCTGAGTCATTTAAGAGGTATTATAGATGTGATGCTCCTTTACTTTGAATACTTTAATGTCTATTTCCTAGCACTAAGGATATTATTTTATATAACCTCAGTGTAGTTATCAAAAATTAAAGCATTGCTTGGAACCAGTAGCTCAGTGGCTAGAGCGCTAGTCACATACACCAGAGCTGGCAGGTTCAATTCCAGCCCAGGCCTGCCAAACAATAATGACAGCTATAACCAAAAAATAGCCAGGTGTTGTGGTGGGCACCTGTAGTCCCAGCTACTTGGGAGGATGAGGCAAGAGAATCTCTTAAGTCCAAGAGTTAGAGGTTGCTGTGAGCTGTGACACCACAGCACTCTACCCAGGGTGACATAGACTCTATCAAAAAAAAAAAAAGAAAATTAGAAAATTAATATTGACACAATACCATTATCTAGTTTGGAAACCTTGTAGCAGGACCTCTTTGTCTTTTGTAGCAGGAGAAAATCCTAGGTGTACATTGTATTTAATTCTACTGTGTTTTAGTCTTT